CTCGCATCGCATGCCGACCTCGTGCCTTGGCACGCGCCTGGTGGCTATGTTTTGTTCCTGCACCCGCCTTCTCGCACGGGCAGCGCATGCTGCTGCTGTTCGCTCTCCCGCTTCGACAGCTCATGCTGCCACTGCGTGCCTTCGCGCACGAGCTGATCTCAGCGGTGTAGCCTATATTCGGTTCCCGCACTGGCTCCCTCGCATTGACAGTGCCTGCAGTCACTGCATGCCTTCGCGCCTGAGCTTTTCTCATCTTTGTAATTGGGGATGTACGGCTCGTGCGCTTTTCGCCTTGCTGCGACAGTGCTTCCCCGCCGCTGCCTGCATGGCAAGAGCGACCCACAGTATAGCAGCTAGTGGCGTCTTTCTCCTACGGCTTTTTGCTTGGACAGGGTTAGTTGCTTCTGCCCCTACGCGCCGATTCCAGCAGCGTAGCCGATGATGCCGCTCGCGGAGTCCCCGTGCTCGTACAGGGTCATGCTGCCGCCGCCCGTCCCGTTCCTCTGCGGCCGAGCCAGCTGCCGCTGCCTGCTCTGACGCGCGAACTGATCCCAGCGTGGGAGCTGACGATGTTGGTCTCGCGCGCCGCCCTTGTCCCGACAGGTCGTTGCTGTCGCTGCTGCCCTCCTTCGCCTCTGGACCCGCCTGGCCTTTGTCTGGCACGGTCCCCATCCCCATTCCCAGGTGCTGAGTAATCCTATCGCTGTCGCTGGGGACCTTGGGCCCCGAAGTTCATCACTGCTCGCGGCAGCACTGCCATTTCTACGTGGGCCGCCGCAGCCTAGGATCCCCTTGTCCCGAGAGAATTGGCCGAGGGAGGGAAGGGGAAGGATGGGGGCGAGGAGGAGGAGGAGGAGGACGAGGACGAGGAGGAGGAAGAGGACGAGGACGTGGAGGAGGAGGATGAGGAGCAGGGGGAGGGGGATGATGATGACGATGCTGCTGCTGCTGCTGATGATGATGATGATGATGAGGATGAGGATGAGGACGACGACGATGCTGATGATGCTGATGATGATTATGATGATTAAGATGATGATGACGAGTCTGATGATGCTGAGACGATGCTCATGATGATGCTGCTGATGATGATGCTGACGCTGATGCTGATTATGCTGATGATAATAATACTGCTGATGTTGAGGATGAAGATTATGTCGATGATGCTGCTGATGATGATGAGGATGATGATGCTGGTGATGCTGATGATGATGATGCTGATCATGCTGATGATGCTGATGATGCTGCTGCAAATGATGATGCTGATGGCGATACTCATGATGCTGCTGATGATGGTGCTGCTGATGATGATGATGCTGATGTTCATGCTGGTGATGGTGATGATGCTGTTAATGACCCTGGTGATGCTGCTGCTGCTGAGGATGCTGAGGACGATGATGATGACGATGCTGATGAAGATGGTGATGATGATGCTGTTGCTGCTGATGATGGTGATGTTGATGATGCTGATGTTGTTGATTATGATGATGCTTATGCTGTTAATGATGCTGATGATGATGCTGATGACGATGCTGATGCTGTTGATGATGATGATGCCGCTGCTGCTGCTGATGATGCTGATGCTGATGACTATGATGATGCTGCTGATGGTGATGATACTGATGATGATGATGACGATGATGCTGATGATGACGATGATGATGAGGATGAGTACGAAGACGATGTTGATGACGATGCTGCTGTTGCTGCTGCTGATGATGATGAGGCTGATGATGCTGCTGATGATGATGCTGATGATGATGATGCTGCTGATTATGATGATGACGATGATGATGATGATGATGCTGATGATGCTGATCATGCTGATGATACTGATGCTGATGATGCTGATGATAATGATGCTGATGCTGATGATGCCGCTGCTGCTGATGATGATGCTCAGGATGGTGATGATGCTGATGCTGATGATGATGCTGATGATGATGACGATGATGATGCTGATGATGATGATGATGACGATGATGATGATGATGATGATGATGATGATGATGGTGGTGGTGGTGGTGGTGATGGTGATGATGATGGTGGTGGTGGTGGTGGTGGTGGTGATGATGATGATGATGATGAGGATGATGATGAGGATGCTAAGGATGATGGTGCTGATGGGGCTGATGATGAGGAGGAGGAGGATGAGGAGGAGGAGGAGGAGGAAGAGGAGGAGGAAGAGGAGGAGGACGCGGCGGAGGAGGAGGAGGAGGGCGACCAGGAGGAGGAGGAGGAGGAGGAGGAGGAGGAGGAGGAGGAGGATCGAGGGCCACCGCAGGAGGGGAGGAGGAGGAGGAGGAGGCGGAGGAGGAGGAGGAGGAGGAGGAGGAGGAGGAGGAGGAGGAGGAGGAGGGTGATGATGAGGATGATGGTGATGATGTTGACGACGGTGATTATGATGATGCTGATGATGATGATGCTGCCGCTGATGATGATGCTGATGATGTTGATGCTGTCGAGGCTGATGATGCTGATGCTGATGCCGATGATGGTGATGCTGCTGACGACGATGATGTTGACGATGCTGCTGATGATGATGCTGATGCTGATGACGATGATGTTACTGACGCTGATTATGAGGCTGTTGCTGATGATGGTGCTGCTGATGCTGATGATGATGATGCTGATGATGATGACGATGCTGATGATGCTGCTGATGATGATGCTGATGGGGATGCTGATGATGCTGATGACTATCATGATGGTGTTGATGCTGCTGATGATGCTGATGATGATGCTGATGATGCTGCTGATGCTGCTGATGATGATGCTAATGATGCTGATGATGATGATGCTGCTGATGATGATTATGATAATGCTGATGATGATGTTGCTGATGATGCTGATGATGATGAAGATGCTGATGCTGATGATGCTGCTGATGATACTGTTGCTGCTGCTGCTGATGGTGATGATGCGGATGATGCTGCTGATGATGATGCTGCTGCTGATGATGATGAAGATGCTGTTGCTGCTGATGGTGATGATGCTGATGATGGTGACGATGATGATGGTGCTGATGAGGATATGATGATGATGCTGATGCTGATGGTGATGATGATGATGATGCTGATGATGCTGATGATGATTCCGATAATGATGCTGATGATGGTGGTGATGATGATGCTGCTGATGCTGATGATACTGATGATGATGATGCTGATGATGGTGATGATGCTGCTGCTGATGCTGATGATGGCGATGATGATGATGATGATGATGATGATGATGATGCTGATGATTATGCTGATGATGATGCTGATGATGATGACGATGGTGTTGATGATGATGATGCTGCTGATGATGATGATGATCTGATGATGATGATGATGATGCTGATGATTATGATGATGATGATGATGATGCTGCTGATGATGATGATGATGAATGATGATGATGCTGATGATGATGATGATGCTGATGATGATGATGATGATGGTGATGCTGATGATGGTGATGCTGATGATGATGATGATGATGATGCTGCTGATGATGATGATGCTGCTGATGCTGATGATGGTGATGATGATGATGATGATGCTGATGCTGATGCTGATGATGATGAGATGATGATGATGATGATGATGCTGATGATGATGATGTGATGATGATGATGATGATGATGATGATGATGATGATGATGCTGCTGCTGCTGCTGATGATGATGATGATGATGATGATGATGATGATGATGATGATGATGATGATGATGATGATGATGATGATGATGATGATGATGATGATGATGATGATCCCGCTCTCCCAAGGGGGCCGCTGCCGACGTGCACACTCCCCCTGCTGCTGCTACATTATCCCCAGCTCCCCGCACGCTCCCTCGAGCGCGACCTCTCTCGCGGCGGGAGGGGGGACGGGGCGCCGAGGACGGCCTCTACCCCCCCTTTGTTGGGGTGGAGGCCTCGCTTCATTCTGCGGAGCTCTTCGGCCTGCCTGCTTGAGAGCGGCCGAGATGGGCACTCGTCGCCGAGTGCCATGACCCGACGGCTGCGGCAGTACCCGCCGCACCGTACGCAAAAGGCTAGGTCTCCCGTCCGCCACATCCTGTGGGACGGGTGGAACCTCGCGTTCCACCAGGGGGGGCACGTTTCCCCGAGACCAGGACCAGGCCCAGGAGGGCCCCGCGACCCACCCGACCTCGCCCCCTGTGGCCCCCCTGGTGGAGGAGCCCCTTCGCTGGAAGGGTTCTCGATCGAACTAACTTGCGCTGGAGACTGCTGCTCCTGCTGCTGCTGCTGCTGCTGCTCCTCGTCCCCTCCTCCGCTGGCCTCCCCCCCCGCTCGCTGCGGCGGCTCCTGCTATGATGCCGAGGAGCGCGGCCGCGCCTGCGCCTGAGCCCTCGGATCCCGAGGCGGGCGGGGGCGGTGGCGGCGGGGGCGGGTGGGAAAAAGCGGGGAGAGGACGGCTACTCGCCGCGCATCCGAGGCAGCACCTGATGCGTCTTGCCCCGACGAGAGCCGACGAGCCGTGCCTCTCGCACGCGCGGGCCGAGCAGCGGCCGCATGGTGCGATCGAGCGCATGCGGCAGCCAGGAGCGGCACATCTAATTATCTGGAGGCCAGGCGCAGCGTAGCCGCCGCTCGCCGTGAGCCAGCTGCTGCCCTCCTGCGGCGCCTGGCCGAGCATCCTACCCAGGCTCTCACCCCATTCGTCGGCAATGCTCGCAACCTCGACCAGCGCGGGGAAGGTGGGGTGGAAGCTGGCGCCCTGCTTGGCCTTCAAGTCGGCTAGCTTGTTGCCCCGCCGCTTCCACTTCGTGGAGGACCCGACCAGGACGTCATGCAACGTGGCGTGCCCCTTCACCTTTGTGTTCTGAATGGCGTCCCTGCCTATGTCGTGGACCCGCTTCCAGAAGGCGGTCCACAGGCCTCTGTACGGTCTTGACCAGCATAGGCACCAATCTTCGCCTGCCTCCCAGCCGTCTCCGAGCAGCTGCGAGTCGCTGAAGAGGTGCACGGGCGGGAGACAGTGGGCCAGGCCTCCACTGCCGCCAGCAACTCCTTGACCAGGCACCGCGACCAGATGGCGTGCTCCGCGACCGAGTCCATCGGGCCGCCTGAGTCGTAGAAGTAGTTGATGTTGAGGTCGTCTGCCTCCCATTGCCTGGCCGAGGGCCACCGCGAAGCAAGGGCGTGGTCAGCGAGCTGCTTCGCCAACCGCCTCCTCAGGCCGTTGATGGCCGCGCCGCCCTCCAGGTGGCCCCGCAGCGGGTCGTGGCTCGCCACGTCCCTCCAGTGCTTCCTGATGAAGGCAGCCTGTACTTCGCGTTGGAACGCGTGCCTGTCGGTCTCGCGCAGGTCTAGGATCCTCCCAAGGTCGTCCGTCCAGCGCCTGATGTGGCCAGCTCTCCAGCCGAGGCGCGCCGCGGCAAGGGCCGCTGCGGAGGCTGGGCCCCTTCCCGCCAGGCCCTCTGGCCCGCTGGCGGTGAGGCGCTCGCGCGCCGCCGCAGAGGCCGAGCCGAGGGCGCGCCTGTCCTGCTCCTTGACCTGCTGCAGCGCCCTCGCCCACGCCTCCATGGGCTTGGCGATGTGGTCGAAGAGCGGGTCGTCCCACGGCTTCGCGGCCAGCAGGTAGCTGAGGCAGATGCTCCTGCCAGGACCCGTGCCGAAGGCGATGGCTGCGAGCTTGGACCTCCATCTCGCCAGCGCCGATGACGACCAGGCTAAACAAGAGATATCGTATGACGTAGCGGGCTTAAGTCCAGCATTGACCAGCTTGACTGCCGCTTCCTTCCTTGCCCGTCGCCTCTGGTGGGCACGGCCGAGCTGGGCCGCGGCGGCTTGGCGTCGGCCAGCAGCCACCTCCCCGGCTCTGGCGCCCATGGCGTAGCACACTCCCAAGCTCCTGGTCACCTTGGCATGCGCGAAGGAGCCCTCGTCCATGCGGCGCTCGCTGCGGCGGTGCAACCTCTCGGTGGCCCCCAGGATCTCGCTCTTGTCCCTGGAGACCACCGCGCCTATGCCCCGCTCCAGGCCCCTGATGACGGCGCACGCCGCCTTGCCCAGCATGATGCCCACCTGCGCTTCCGAGCCAGTGTGGCGCAGGGAGCAGTCGTCGAACATGATGGCCGCGATGAAGTAGTCGAGCTCGGGCGGCGGCGCGTCGGCCGCGACGTGGCAGGTGCCGAGGCCCTCTTCGTTGCATATGACCTGGCCTCTCCCCGCCTCCAACCAGAAACGCGCCGCGTCCGCGGAGAGGGCGGGCTCCACGTTGACGTCCCTCCCGATCACGAAGGACATGCCCGAGGCTCTCAGCGCGTGCCCCAGCGTGCGCAGCACCTCCCATGACGCAGGCCCCTGGCGGTCGATGTCGAGGTAGACGCAGGCCGCCGGCCCTCCTCCTCGCTTGAGCCCCTCGAAGTGGAGGCAGGTGCGCCGCCCAGGGTGGACGCGCTTAGATCTGGTCCCAGCGGCGGCGCCTCGCAAGGGCTGAGCGGCGCCTCGCGCCGCCCAGACCTCACCTCCTGTGCCGCCCGAGGCGGCCCTCCTCTGCTGCGTGTCCAGGCTGCCTAGGTGGCTGGTGCCAGGCGTGAGGGCATCCCGCAGGCCCTGCCTGCACAGCCACTGCTCCTCGCGGGTTGCCTCCTCCTCTTGTAGGTGGGTCTCCTGGGCCAACCAGCACTGACCCGCATGGGCCTCCCTGGCCAGCTCCTGAGCCATCTCCTGAGGCCTGCCCCATATGGTCGCGAGGGGTCCCCAGCCTGAGCCGTTGGCGGAGTCGAACGTGAACGGCTGCAAGGCGCTTCGACCGCCGCGGCGCCCGCCGCTGCTAGGGAGACGCTGTGGGCGCGCTCTCCTTGGTGTCGCCTCCTGGCTTGCGACCGCGCACCTCCCTCGCGGCCTTCTTGAGCTCTGCGAGCCGCTCTGCCGACAGCTGGGGCTGTCTGGGGGCTGGGGCGGCCTCAGGCTGGCTGGGCGTCCCAGGAGCCGCGTCGCTGGTATGTCCTGCTGCGTCGCCCCCAGCGCCTCGCTGTTCGTCGCCAGGAGGGTCAGGTTCACCAGCAGGCCGAGCAGCTTCAGAGTCCATCCGCCGCTTCTTGGTCTTGGCGCGGAACTCCTCCTGCATCTTCTTGAGGCCCTCTCTCCGCTTCTCGAGCTCCTCAGCCGCGGGCTTGAACATCGCCTCCACCTGCTTTGTGAAGTCCTGCTTGAACTGCTCCAGCGTTTTCTCCCAGTCGGCCTGCTCCTGCTCCGTGAGCGAGATGCCGTCGAGGTCGAAGGCGACCCCGAGCTCGAAGTTGAGGCCCTCCCTCCCCTCGAGGACGGAGGATAGGTTGACCGAGACCGATGCTGGAGTGGCCTGTTCGCCTTTGAGGCAGCCCTTGGCGTGTGCGATGGCCCTCGCCTGCTCCTCGAGGGCGAGCGCGTACTCCGCCGCAAGCTCGTCCTCCTTGGCCTGGCACTTGGCGAGCCAGGCGCGGGCCCCCTCGGTGGCGTCGAGGGCCTCGTTGGGCGCCTTGGTCGCACGACGCGCCGCTCCCCATGCCCGCTGGACGGCCTCGTCGGGCAGCTCGGGCTTGGGCGCCGTGGCCGTGGGCTGCTGGAGCGCCGCCTCGAGGCCCGCCAAGGCCTGGGACGCCTCCAGGGGGAGCTCCTCCTAGCGGCGCTTGATGGTCTCGAGCAGCGTCTCCTCCCGCACCTGCCGCGTGTCGGGCCGCAACCTGGCCTCCTGCCACGGTGGCCGAGAGGCGCTGATGATGATGCTGATGCGACGGACGACAAGGAGGAGGCGGAGGAGGAGGAGAAGGAGAAGGAGGAGAAGGTGGAGAAGGAGGAGGAGGAGGAGGAGGAGGAGGAGGAGGAGGAGGAGGGAGGGAGGAGGGGAGGAGGAGGAGGAGGAGGAGGAGGAGGAGGGGGCGGTTGAAAGTAGGAGGAGGAGGAGAGGAGCAGGAGGATGAGGATGAGGAGGAGAGGAGGAGGAGGAGGAGGATGAGGAGGAAGCGGAGGAGGAGGAGGGGGAGGAGGAGGAGGAGGAGGAGGAGGAGGAGGAGGAGGAGGAGGGAGGAGGAGGAGGAGTAGAGGAGGAGGAGGAGGACGAAGATGAGGTGGGGGGGGGGGCAGGAGGCGGAGGAGGAGGATGAGGAGGAGGAGGAGGAGGAGGAGCGGAGGCGGAGGCGGAGCGGGCGGAGGCGGAGGCGGAGGCGGAGGCGGAGGCGGAGGCGGGGCGCGGCGCGAGGGAGGATGAGGAGGTGGAGGGGGGGAGGAGGAGGATGCGGAGGGGGATGAGGAGGAGAGTAGGAGGGAGGCGGAAGAGCAGGAGAAGGGGGAGGTGGAGGTGGAGGAGGAGTAGGAGTAGGAGGGGAGGAGGAGGAGGGGAGGAGGAGGAGGGAGGAGGAGGAGGAGGAGGAGGAGGAGGAGGATGGATGATGATGATGAGGAGGAGGCGGGGGGGGAGGAGGAGAGGAGGAGGAGGAGGAGGAGGAGGAGAAGGAAGACGAGGCTGACGAGGAGGACGAGAAAGACGAGGAGGACGAGGAGGACGAGGACGAGGACGGGGACGAGGAGGAGTCGGAGGGGGAGTAGGAGGCGGAGGCGGAGGATGAGGATGACGAGGCGGAAGCTGATGATGATGATGAGGAGGAGGAGGCGGAGGATGATGGGGAGGAGGATGATGAGGAGGAGGAGGAGGCCGACGACAACGAAGACGAATAACCATACTAATACTATGACTTACCGTGCCAGTAATAATAAGAATAATAATGCGATCACTAATAGCATTAGTATTCGCAATAATAATACCACTGCTAATTCCGATACTAATGATAATAACAAGAAGGCGACCGCGACTATTAATAACAATACTAATACTATGATTCGGAATAATACTAGCAGTACTAATAATCGTCGTGCTAATATTAAGAGTACCAGTAATAATATGAAGCATAAGAATACGCAGATGACGCAGACGAGGGGGAGGAGGATGAGCAGGAGGACGAGGCGGAGGAGGAGGAAGAGTAGGAGGATGAGGAGGAGGGGGAGGAGACGGACGTGGAGGAGGAGGAGGAGGAGGCGGACGACGAGGATGTGGACGAGGACGATGATGTTGATGCTGATGCTGCTGATGCTGATGATGATGATGCTGCTGATGCTGCTGATGCTGCTGATGCTGATGATGCTGAGGATGTTGATGCTGATGGTGATGATGATGATGATGATGATGTTGCTCATGATGATGCTGATGATGATGCGTAGATGATGGTGCTGATGCTGATGCTGCTGATGCCGATGACGATGACAATGCCGATGACGACGCTGATGATGATGGTGATGATGATGATGGTGCTGATGATGATGATTCTGATGCTAGTGATGCTGATGATGCTGCTGATGATGATGATATGATGATGATATGATGATGATGATGATGATGATGCTGATGATGATGATGATGATGACCATGCTGCTGCTTATGATGATGATAATGATGATGATGATGATGGTGATGATGATGATTATGATGATGATGTTGTTGTTGTTGTCGCTGCTGGTGGTGCGGCTGATTCGGATGCTGATTGTGATGATGCTGTTGTTGATGATGATGATGATGGTGGTGGTGGTGGTGATGCTGGTGATGATGATGCTGCTGATGCTGTTGATGATGGTGATGATGATGCGGATGAGGATGCGGATGATGAGGATGATGATGCTGATGCTGATGATGATGCTGATGTTGATGCTGCTGATGATGATGATGATGGCGATGATGCCAGTGCTGATGATGATGACGATGCTGATGATGATGCTGATGATGATGACGATGATGATGATGACGATGATGATGCTGATGATGCTGATGATGATGATGATGTTGATGATGATGATGATGAGGTTGTTGTTGTTGCTGATGATGATGATGGTGGTGATGATGATGCTGATGCTGATGATGATGATGCTGCTGCTGATGATGATGCTGATGATGATGATGCTGATGATGATGATGATACTGACGATGCTGATGATGCTGCTGATGATGATGATGGTGATGTTGATGATGCTGATGATGCCGATGATGATGATGATGATGGTGACGATGATGATGGTGATGATGATGATGCTGTGCTGATGCTGATGCTGATGCTGGTGATGGATGATGGATGATGATGATGATGAGGGGGAGGAGGAGGGAGGAGGAGAGGAGGAGAGGAGGAGGAGGAAGGGAGAAGGCGGAGAGGAGGAGGAGGAGGAGGAGGGGAGGAGGATGAGGAGGTGTAGGTGGAGGTGGGGGAGGGGGAGGGGGGGGGGGCGGGGGATGAGGAGGGGGGGGGAGGAGGAGGAGGAGGAGAGGAGGAGGAGGAGGAGGAGGAGGAGGAGGAGGAGGTGGAGGAGGAGGAGGAGGAGGAGGAGGAGGGAGGAGGAGGGGAGGAGGAGGAGGAGGAGGAGGAGGCGGAGGAGGTGGAGGAGGAGGAGGAGGAGGTCCGTAGCCATTTTGGCTCAAGATATCGCCGTTTGCGGACCAAGGAGGCGTCTGGGCGCATTTCGGCATTGCAGGGTGGGAGCCCTTCAACTCCCAAGCGAACGTTGGTCCCGTCCAACAACCCCAAGCGTGCCCCGCAAGTTATGAGCCGCGCCAGCCATGCGACAGTCAAGTGCCTCCAATGTGGGAATGCTAAGAACCCGTTCTGGTATTCTTACTGTTACCATTGCTCTGCAAGTCTATTACATGGGCCTGCTATCACACTGGAGAGATCCCCTATGGGCAAATGGGCTTCCCGCTTCACCGACCTCACGGGTGAGCCGAAAGGTTCAAAGGGACCCAGGACCACAGGCAATTGCAAAGGCAGTACCACAAAAGGCAAATGCAAAGGCAAAGGCTACGGAAAGTTCACCCACCCCCCCCAATCCTACGGTCTACATTGGGGGGGGTAGTGGGGGCACTAAGGGAGCGTGGAAAGGCAAAGGAAGAGGAGGAGGCACACCCCGCCCTAAGCTCAACGGGCCCACCCTTCTCAACCTCCTGGTCCAGCATGCCCACTCCAAGGAATGTTCAGATATCCCTGAGCACCTCATCCCCCAGTTGGGCTCCCTCATGCAGTATTACCGCAGCTCCAAGGAACAGGACGTACCTAAGTCCAAGCGCCTGGTACGTGTTGACCGGCAGCTTGATCAGCAGCAAGCAAAGCTGGCAGCATTGGAGAAGGAGCATGAGGATATTGAGGAGTTGTTGGAGGCAGCAGATAAGAGGAAGAAAGAGGTGCTCGAGGAGGAAGAACATGTGCAGAGTGAGATCGACCGATTGAAAATTGAGGTTGTCACGTCAGCGCAGAAAAACTCACCAGAGGAAGGTGGATTTTGGCAGAAGTATCAGGAGTAGGACTTTGACGAACATGAGGAGGAGTATGAGGACCCAGAGAAGGAGGAGCTCCAGTCCACAGTCGAGACCCTCGCCAGTCGGCTGGGAATTTGGGAGCAAGTCATTCTCAATCATGCCGACCGTGACCAGCTCCTCCAGAAGTTTGACCAGGCAAATGTCGCAGAGCCAACCCCGATGGAGGGCACAGGAGGAGTTAAGCACAAGGCATCGGACATGTTGGACCCAGGGGGCAAGAATCTGGCCAATGCTCTCAATCTATCCCCAGAACTCCTTGCAGGTGTCCAACGTGCTTTTCGAAGTTCTGGGAAAACCAAAAGCCAACTGGGATTCCGCCCCCGCCCTCAGCCCCACGCGCCGCAACCGTCGCAGAGGCAGCGGCATCAGCGTCAGCGGCAGCAGCAGCAGTGGCAGTCCCAAAGTGAGCAGAGCAGCAGTTTCGAGATTCGCACGCTGAATGTATCGTCGTGGGGCACAGCAGAAGATATATTGCCCCAGCCAGCAGAATCGACAGTTGACGTGCTTCTGAGTCAGGAGCACAAGCTCTTACCTCACAGGTACTCGTTCGTCGTCTCCTCCCTCAGGCAGAAAGGGTGGAACGTATTCGGAGCCCCAGCATTCACGTCCAAGAATGGAGGAGTGTCGTCAGGAGTGCTCATACTTGTGCGTGCTCACTTGGATGCATGGATCCCCAACGAGTCCCAGCAGTTGCTAGTGCCTGGCAGGGTATGCGAATGCTACCTCCGCCACCTGAAGTTGGGGGTCATAGGCTTGCACAGCGTCCACCTAAAGGACCGAGTAGGTTCTGACGACATCAACTTAAGCATCCTCCGAAAGCTAGGGCAGGACATCCACTCCGCGGGCCTGCCAGTCGTAGTCGGTGGAGATTACAAGAGCAGCGTAGTCGACATGATCGGGAATGCAGACCTAGCTAAAATCGGCATGCCCATCAAGGCCCCGCTGGAACCCACGTATGTTAGCGGAGACATAGAATCCAGGATCGACTATTTCTGGATCAGCAGCATCCTGACCCAGGCCCTCAAGTCAGTCTCGGTGGATTTGGAGACTCCCCTCTCTCCTCATCGCCCAGTAAAGCTTGTGCTCAGAATTGACATCGATGAGATCCTAGTAAAGCTACCTGGCAAGTACCAGCGATATCCCACCGACCCAGCCATTGGACCAGCCCCTTGCCCTCCCTCGCATTTGCATCTGAAGGAAGCGCTGGGAAGTTTCATCCAGGACCGCACGAATGACAGGGGCGA